TCAGTGTTGGTGGTTTGACCAATCAACCGACAACTGCGGTAGCAGAAATTTGGGAAGCTAACCTGAAATGCCATCGGAAAACGAATCCACATGTTTCTAGAAATGATATGAAATCTAGAAAGGTTAATGCAGTCAAGCTGCTGGAAAATAATTTCATGAAAATCAAAAAATTAATAGATAAGTTTCTCCTCTAACAAAACTTCCTACATTATTTGTGCGTCAACTCACTTTGAAGTAATAGAATTGACAAAAATTGACCAATAAAATACTGACATATAATTAATATTTTCCATAGTGTACTATAGACCTCTCGAAGAGGACATCAGAGGCGACACTTCTGGAACTCTCAAGCGAATGCTGGTGTCTCTCTGCACGGCCAACCGGGATGAAAGTATGACGACTAATCCCCATGAAGCCCAAGCAGATGCTCAGGCTCTTCTAACAGCTGGGGAGCTACGCCTCGGTACAGATGAATCTGCTTTCAATGCCATTTTGTGTCAACGCAATCATGCCCAACTACAACTGATTTTTCATGAATATCAACAGATTTCAGGTGATGAGATAACTCAGAACTTTATTACTGGATGGGTAGATCATTCTGTATTATGAAAGGGTCTTAATGGAAGTAAAAACCAATAGGAATAGCTAGGCAATGCCACACATCGTTTTTAAGTGCTGGATGAAGTTGCATGTAACTACCTTTTGGATAAACTTGAAAAATGATTTTCAGCAACTCAGATTCATCTCAATCTATAAAAAACATTGTATTCAATATCTCAATTAAAATCTTTCATACTAGACAGAGGTTGATCAACAAACCCTTCTTTTTTGAATTTGATGACTCAATTATTAGTAGGAGCTCAGCCATAAAGTTGCTGTTGTTACTTTGGATGATAATAATTGCCATGAACATATTACGGTCAAAGGAATTTATACTTTGTCTATACTATAGTATTGTATTCTATTGTGGGGAAATTCTCCCTCTGCACTAAATATATTTCTTGTACAGGAAAAATGACTTAGGGAGCTATTAGGAGCGTATCACCAAGATTTTATTGCACTAGATTTGAACAGCTAAATATTCATCCGTTGACCTGCGTGTACATAATGAAATTTGCTTGCTATTTCAAAAGCAATATAGAAATCATTATTCAGAGTTACAAAGAAAAAATGATCTACTACAAAATAATAAAAGTTGAGAGTATAGGTTGATTTAAAGCATTTTTCAAGCCAGAATAACCTCCAAATGGTCCGATCACAATTTGTAATAGTCTATAATAAAAATACAAATTCCGAAACATCATGAAAAAAAATCTCTGATTTTTTTTCACAATTCTAATGTTTTGTATTTTAATTATGTAATGTACAATAATTCCATCATGTATAACTTTACCTTTACACTTACTCTGTATGGTGACAATTTCTTTATTCAAAAGGTAGTTGAATGCATAAATGAATTCGAATTTGAACCTACTTCACATAGTTGTTTGGGTATTAGATACCTCAAATTGAAAACCCTGTGTTTGGGCCAATCAGTGAAAAAAAATTACTTTTGTATCTAATGTTTACTTTCACCACCTAGTGTAATTCTACGTGATTCCATACGTAACATTTTTTCTCAAGTGACTTTTGTTCAGACTACTTGAACTATGATATTTTTACAAAAACACCCTATGATTATAAAAATTGGGGACCGTAGAAATATTCCAAACTTTCTCAAAGTCACATTCCTACAACCTATATCACAAAAGATGTGATGGTGAAAATTGAATAGAATGGATTAGGTTTCACATAGTGTAATACCCCGTTTAGCGTAAGTTGATCGGTTTCTTGAATAACTGCTTATTTATGTAAGAAATTATGAAAACAATTATACGATTAGAATATTTAATAATGAATGAATGAACTTTTCTTTTTGTCGGAGATACCTCTCAATAAGGCCAATTGTTTCAAATAAATCATATTTTTTAAGCAAAAAGTTCGAATTTCAACTAATATATTTTTATTCAAAACAGGTAATGACATCGAAGATGCAATTAAACGTGAATTCTCTGGAAATTCAGAGTCTGGCTTTCTGGCTATAATCAGGGCTATTAAAAACCAACCAGCATACTTTGCTAAACAAATTCACAACAGCATCAGTGGCATGGGAACTGAGGACAAGAATTTAATTCGTTTGATAGTGACCAGAAGCGAAATCGATATGGGAGATATTAAGAGAGCCTATGAATCAAAATATGGAGAAACCTTACGAGAAGCTTTGCGGGTAAGAAATTGAACAAATATTCCAAGATCAATTTTCGTAGACACTATATGTGTCATTAATCCATATGTTTATTATTATGGGAAAGTTATTAGAAATATATACATCCTTTAAACATCAAAAGTGTGAGTTCAACTAGTATACCTCAAAATTATTTTTAATTCAACTGAAAATCCATAATGAATTAAATTTACTATTTTTTTCCGCAAAGTTATAGATTTTGAGAGACTTGAAAACTTTGCTGTCGAAAGACGGTTGGTCCATAATCATTAGAAAAGTATAAAGTGAAGCCAACCACATCTATCTATTCTCTATAAAACCAACTTGTGCTGTTTCATGTGTACCCTTCATACAGTGCTGTTTATATTGGAATCTATCTATGGGGATCTTTTGAACGGGTAAGAGATACAGAGTTGACTAAATCGTGAAAAAGTTAACATTCTCGGGAACTATTGAATGATACCAAAAATCAGGCTCATTTGGTTCTAGAGATTATACGGGAAAAACTGAATATGTCGAATCCCTGAGAGTTTTGGTTAATTGAAATTGTCACCCTCAAAAAGTTTGACTTGATAACATATTTGGTGGTCGGTATCCAACGTGACTTTGTAACACTTCCCCAAGGAGACCATTGTTTACTTTGAATAAGCAATGTTTGAGTTTTCTGTCAGTTGTTTGTTTTTTCTCAAATTTGTCTTTAAGGACTGCCTAGCACCACTGATGAGACCTAAGGACATGTCGAAACAGCTCTGTTGTGTCAGATCACGTTGTTTTAGGCTCTGCTTTCAACTATTGAAAAGATACCAGTAATTAATTACTGGAATATGCAGTTTCTCTAAGGAATATCAGATGATTTTGAATTAGAAGATAAACTTGCAAATTGTTCCTCGATTAAACAATCCAAGAGTCCAACCAGGGGCTGGACATAAAAGTTCAAAAATCTTGTTTTAAGCTTTTGTAAGTTGTACGACGTGGTAAGTTGGTTTGCGATACCAACACATTTTAGGTTCTTAGTGAAGTTTTTGGGAATAAACTGTGGTACATGAAGACAGTAAGAATGGCTACCATTCGATTGATAATCAGGTCCATTTAAAGAAATTGATAATTCTCTTAATGATCATCAAATTAACAAATATCTAGGAAATATAAAGAAACTCTAATTTTACGATTTTATATAAATAGTACCGATACAAAAAAATCAAATCACGAAGTTGAGGGTGCTCCTAGTCTGACCACACCCTGTAAAGTAATGTTACTTCATATTCTAATAACACAATGAAACTTCCAATGGCAGAGTGTGATTTTCAATATTTCTGCAAGTAAAAAAAAAATTTCCATTTCATTCAATAGTTCTCGAAAATTTTACCTACTCTTCATCTCTTACCGTTTACGTGATCACTATAAAAAATACTCAAATTTGAAAACCCTGTAGAAACAATTTTTTTCAATATTCATATATTTTTATTTAATTCGTAATCTTTTGCAGGGTGATGCCTCTGGAGACTACAAGAAATGTTTGTTGGGTCTTATTGGAGAATAAAGATGCTTGTGAGTAACGCTTCTCAGATAGAAAAAAATATTTAGCTGCCAAATATGATTTGATATCATTTTTTATTTTGCAGCGATAGAAGATTATTTTGTACAAACATCCCGCTGATATTTCGGTTATGTGAAGAAGGGTAGAAGGGCATCTCTATATTTTTGGATTTCTACAAGTTGTCAGCCTAGTTTTGAAAAATACAATGAAGTGACTGTGTCGGTCATAGAAATGAAAATATTTTTTTAAGTGTAATGTCACATTATGTAGCCTGTAGCTTTTATGTGGAAGTTATCTAGTGTATTATTTTAATATTTCTAAATCTCTTATTTCCACCCTGAAAAATAATTATGCACTGTTTAGGTACTAATTCATGCAAATTGATTTATGAAAATAGTTCAATAAATATATTTCAAAATGTCTTTATCTAGTAGGATGGTTCTATATGGTTCCTTTTATTCAAATAATAGCTAATAAACAAAGGTACCCAATGGAAGAAATAAAAGCTTTTCCCAATAAATGTCTTACACAAGTATCAGTTGTGTATTAGAAGATACTTGTTGAAATTGAAATGTTCTTCAGTGTCTTACAAAAAAGAGACATTATATTGGAGAATGTTCATTTCATTTTTTCTTTCAAGTATGTTTTTGAAACAAAATCGGTGTTTGTATCCCCCTTGTACATTTGAAAATTTTGAATGTATACTTTCAAGTCGTGAGAAACTATGATATACTGCCGTTAATAGGCGACTTCATGTATTTTCAATATTACTTCATTCCTCATGAATGCCATAGGCCAAATTCATAGATGGAAATTTTTCTGTCAAATAATGTCAATAAAAAGGTTATGTTAGGCTGGGTATACCCAAAAGCTATTTAGTTATCCGCTAACTTATTGGTTCAAGAACATCAAAAAGTGATAATAGTATATTAGGCACCTAGAAAAAAAAATCGACATTCTCGCTCGCGAAATTTTGTCATCTGAACCGAAAGCGGGGGTGATAAAATCGAGGGCGAGGATGCAGTACTATTCACCCCACTCACTGCGGGATGAAAAAGTGCGATCTTTCGTTGATTTAGAGTCTTTCAATCACAGATTAAAAATTTAACTGTCGTCACGTATTTAAAGTTGTCATAGACAGTTTGATAAAAAATTCGTCGCTAGGTTACCTAGAGGAAAAGTTAGTTATGAGCATACACATCGGTTTTATCTAACCGGGAGAGAACGAGGCGAAGCAGATGAGAAGCTAACTTTTCATCCCACAGTGAGAAAAAATTTCACCTATAATAACTAAAATTGTTTGGTTTGTAATTACTCACATTTGGAAAGATTATATTTTTGCAAATTTTTGCAGTCTTATCAATTGCCAACTAAACACTCCTTCATTATTTCAGTTTCAATTATCATATTTTCTAAACCTGTCATTTTGAATCCATTATTTCAAGTGCGAAATTTTCTTACAGAATGTCTAAATTATCATCTGTATATTTTTCCTCACTCACGAATATTTTAGGAATCCCTTGTCTTCAAAACATTGGGGATTTTGAAAAATTTACAGTAATAATTTTGATACGTAATGATATTACAAGAGATAATTATATGTAGAAGATAATATATACTCTAGTTTTTTAAAGTTTCATCTTTACTGTTCATAAATGTATGTGCTTCTAGAACAAAAAGCCAAAAATTATATGCTTGTTACAAATATTAATATTTATGTCATTTGCTGTCAACAATATATTATATTTTATTTAATATAGTTTATCCATTGATTAAACAGGTGTTTTTGTATTGTCTGAGATTTAGAGTTGCTCTTCTCTCTCACCAAAAGAATAATTTGGTAAATAACTAGTATTTATTAATATTAAAATATTTTTCTTGTTTTAATTCTGATATCGTCATGTGAAAAGGAATTTGAAAATAAACCCTTTTCATTATAAATTTAAAAGGCCGATGACACTGTCAATTACAATAATTTTCAAATCCGAAAGTAAGAAATTGTATATCACTTATTTGTACTGTGGAATCTCTCATAATTGATTTGATCAGATATCATTCATAAGAACACTACACAATATAATAAATGGGAGAGTGCGGTTATAAAATTTCATTTACATAGAAATACTAAATTATAGTAGTTGTTGCCCATGGCTTCGCTAGCGTAGAATTTGATTTGTCACATTGAGTTTCGTGATAGATCATTTTAAACAAATAGTTGCAATATTTTTTTCATTAACCCAAACAGGTTTCCAACTTGAAAAATGACGAAATTCCATACAATCTTCAAACCCCTATTTTTTCCCCGTGGGGGGTGAAAATTCCTAATGCTTATTTACGCTATACAAAGAATCTACCTGCATATTTCAAGATTCTAGATTCAGTAACTTCGGCTGTACGTTAATATAAAAGTGTCGGTCAATCAATAGGTACCCACTTATACAATATTGAAGAGCATCAGCAAAAAAAAACTGAAAGGATTAGAATGGTAATCCTACTCCTACTAATATTATAAATGCGCAAAGTTTGTGAGGATGGATGAATGTAATGTATGTGTTTACGTTTTTTACTTTTTCACGCCTAAATAGCTCAACGGATTCAAATGTGAGTTGATATATAGATAGGTCATGACCTGGAATAACACATAGGGTAGGTATGTGAAGTTTCATCTAAATCCATTCAGTCGTTTAGGCGTGAAAGAGCCACAAACATACATTCTGTTGTTTTTTCCCCGTGGGTTTACCAATAATTGACTACACTGAACAATAATCAAACTCAACTTTATTTCACTTTTTATACAACAAAACAGTTGAACTTCAACTATTATTCGAACGACTGTATCGATAGATGGCGCTTATATTTGGCAATCGAAGGCCCTGGAAAATTATTCGGAATTTTATCGGAGCAGCGCGAACATCGAACAGCTGCGAAACATCGGTAGCATTATTCTTGAAGCAACGCCACGTATGGAACGGCAGCTAGCGCACGTCGAGCATTACTTTCTTTAGGGCATGATTTACAACACTACCCCCTTCTCTGAGGTTGTTCGCTCCGAACAACATTGAGAGGGGACATCATGACCCATGTACGGACTTAGTCTCTCGATGTGGACAACTTGGGGCTTGCTTCTGGGTGACAATTGAATTTTGCACACCAGATCGTTTATCTTTTTGGTTACCAAGTAAGGTCTTTGCAACTTGGGACACAAACCTTTCCAACGTTGGGGTTGGTAGAGCCACACTGCATCGCCCTCCTTGAAACTCGCTGGCAATGACTTTTTGTCAAATCTTATCTTCATCCTGTCGCTGGAAAGCTGTAATTTGGATCTGGAAAATTTGTGTGCAATTTCCGGTATCTCCTTCAGGTCGTTGGCATACTCTGAAATAGGTATGTCTTGAGAATCATCGGATAGGCTACCACATAATACATCTATGGGAAGCTTCAGTTATCGGCCAGTTAACAATATGGATGGTGTCTAATCTGTCGCATCATGTTGAGAGCTCCTGTATGCCAACAGAAAAAGGGGAACCAATTTATCCCAGTTTGGTTTTCAGGTACAAACATCGAGAGGTAGTTATTTATGGTGCGATTATGCCTCTCGACCATTCCATCGGACTGTGGGTGAAGAGCAGTTGTTCGTATCTTCTTTATTCCTAACAAAGTCATCATTGCCTTCCATAAATTCGATTGAAAGTTTCGGTCCTGATCCGAGTGTAGACCCTGGGGTACTCCGTGTCTGGCAATTACGTTCTGCAACAGCGATTCTGCCACCGTGTTAGCCTCTTGATTGGGTACTTCACAACCATAAGGTACTTGAGGGCACACACAATAGACCTGCAAAGGTCGCAGTGTAGGGGCTGTTCAGTACAGAAGCCTCATATTAATCTAATCTAATAAGGTACTTGTTTCTGGATGTGGTCATAGGAAGTGATCCCAGGATGTGGATGCAATTCTTACGAAAGGGCACTCACTGAGGTATTGCTTCAACCTCCTTCTTTGCCTTGTCTTCGGACCCTTTCTTGAAGAGCACGAGTCACAGCGCTCATACCACTCTTCCACATCTCGACGGCACTTGACCCAATAGTACCTCTCTCGCTAGAGTTTTATTTACTCCGAGATGTCTTCCAGTGCCACCATCGTGGAGCTATTCAAGTATATTCGGGATACACGACTTTGGAAGGATTATCTGGAATTTGTGGGTTCTTCCATCCGGGCTTTTACATTCCCGAGTGAGTAGGTCATCTCGAATGCACATGTAGTCCCATTGGAGCCAGTAACTCTTTTCTTGCTGGCCGTGCAGCATGATATCTTGCCTCCTCATGAAAGTAGTGTCACCCTCAGATACTGTTATTGACCGTACCACACCATGGTCAGGTGATTCCTCAGATTTTCTGTCCGTATCCCTGGACATGGGACCCTTGCGAGTTGTTGCTCTCCGGATTAGAGAAAATCCAAAGAAGCGGGAGGTAGGGAAGCTTATTCCCCTTCTGATGGAAAGCTCTTCTTCTGGTAACTGGGTATCCTTGTTCTCCTGGCGTTGACAAAATTTGCATCCGTATATCAGGCATGGTCTTCTTGAGAGGCTATCTCCGTTTCCGTGATTCTTTCCTTTCCGACGTTGAATTTCAAAATCGCAAGTTTGTAACTTTTCGATCCACCTGGCTATTTGTCCTTCTGGGGTTCTGAAGTTGAAGAGCCCCGAGGTGGTGAGTGGTCTGACCTGATCAAGAATTTACGGCCATATAAAAAGGAGTGCTAGTGATCCACCGCTTTCTCCTGACGCAGTAATTTTTTTAGGATGTTCCCAGAGACTTACTAAAGTAGCTAATGACGACTTCTTCTTGTACTGAAAAAGTACTGTTCCTATTCCATGTTGGGATGCATCCGTGTCCAGTAAAAACAAGCCCTTCTCCTTTGGGTGCGCTAGTCAAATGCCTCTTCAGGGCAGCAAATTCATGTTGGCAGTCCGGGGGTTCTCTCCAAAGTCCTTCATAAAACGCCAGTGA